AAAAAAAAAAAAAAAAAAAAAAAAATCACTCGAGCCCTCTGGTGACAGAAAATTGAGTCCCTAAAGGCATTCCAGTCATGCTCCCTTGCCCATCTGCCAAGCCAATCTCACAAGAGGAGTCAGACCAAGGATAGAACTGACCAATATCCTACTTAAAGGAAAGGCACTTAGAACCACCCTAGTCTCTCCAATTTTATTATAAGACATGTGGACAGGGGAGAGAAGTGGCAGAGGGGTGACAAGAGGGCAGCTAGGGCCCTCCCCCACCATGAGCTTCAAGGCACAGTTGGGGGGGGGCGGTCAGGAAAAGGCATGAGATGAAGATCAGAAAGCCCAAGCAACCAGCGCCTTACAAGGGACAAGGATTGCTCAGTGTGGGGTGGGCCCTCCTGGACCATCATGGAGGGGAAGAGCCTGCCGGGTGGGGTAGGGAGGTGGAGTCTCTGCTGACACTGGGTGGCTCATGGGACTGGCTACTACCACCCACCCTGGGAAGCACTGAGACAGACTTCGGTGCCCTCCCTCCCTTTAAGAGGCATAGAAGCACTGCCTCCCAGAAAGGACACAAAGAACTTGGCTGAGCTTGCTGGCTCATGCCTCATTTTGTCTGGAGATCAGAGGGGGCTGAGACATTTTGGTTTGAACTTTTTCACCTCCGTGAAAATGGGTAGGGGAGAGAGGTGGGGGTGCAGTGCAAAACGAAAACACCAAAATCAAGACACAGGCTGAATCTCAACTCTACCACTCAGTGACCTTGGGCAAGTCACTTCACTTCCCTGAGACTCAGTTTCTTCATCTGCAAAATGGGATCGATTAATATCTCCTCACAGGTTGTGAGGATTAAATGAGAAAATAGAAGTAAAGTTAACAGAGTGCCCGAGAGAGAAGGCTCGGTGTGGATACTTCAATGACAGGCAGGGGTACTCAGCATATGGGAGGCCCAGGAGTGGTCCGAGCAAGTGTCTGCCTTCCTCTTCCAGGCTTAAGAGTGAGCCCCTGTGGGGCAGGGTTTGGGGAGGTTTGGCTCCAAGGCTTTAATGAAAGCCCAGGGACCCTCATGGGCCTGAGTGGAGGACAAGGATAGGGTTGGGGGTACAGTGACTTTCTTTTTTAGAAAGCTGGAAGAAAAGGAAGAGAGGAATATTTCTTCCCATAGGTGCAGCTGCAAAGACATCAAGCTGGGCCCATCTAGGATTTCAGATCCAGCCATCATGGGGCTGCTGCTGGGGGAAGACACCGCCCCTTCTTTCTCCTCAGTGTTGGGGTTATCAAAAATATCTACAAACTATGAGAAACTTCACGTAAAAACACTTTTCTGCAGGTATAAAAAAGACTGGCTGTAGTCAGTGGCTTGGGACATAGACCAAGGCCTTAAGAAAGGCCAAGCAAGGTCAACGGCCATTCAGTGGGGGGGGGGGACACGCGGGTCTGGGCTGCCCTGACAGCTCTGGGGGAGGCTGTGTTCTTTGGCTGAGCTACACTTCTGTGGCGCTGGGGCCTGGCTCCAGTAGCCCTACTGTGACCCTTGCTGGGTAGGAGGTGGGGGTGCCTTGGCCCTGGGCCTCGGAAACTCCTCAGTGGACTCCCTTGCTAAGAGCAGAAGCCTACTTCACAGTGAACCTCCCCAAGCAGCTGGCTTCCAGCAAGTCCCAAATCAGGGGTTGGGGTCCTATCATTAGGTTGGACTGAGTGGTCTGGAGAGCTGAGGTCTGGGGTACAGTGACTTCTTCTGGAGGGTTTTTCCCTGAGCCTCCAGAAGGCTGTCTCCAGCTAAAACTGACTCCCCTTGGGGACACCAGGCATAGGAGGGCAGCCAGGAAGAAGGCTCCAGACAAACAAGAGTGCTTCCCTGGCAACCTCTCCCCAGCCCCCAGTCCGGGCCTTCTTAACGTTTCTTTCGGGGGAGGGGGGCGGTGAATGTAAGGAGAGAGGGGCGCCCTGTCTTCCTGGCACCACGCCTCCCGGATCTTCACCCCACAAGGACCTGGGCTTGGTGCCTGAGTGGGTGAGGTCCAGGGAGATGACCTGAGGTCCCGTTTCTGGTGTCCTGAGCAGCTTCTGGAACCACGTGGGTGGTAAAGGGCTAATGGTGGCAGCTGGAGTCAGAGGTTCATCCGTCCGGTCACCCCAGGCACCCCCTTGTCTGACCCTTCACTGACCTCCGACCGCACAGGCAGCCTGGGAGTGGTGGGGTGGGGGTGCCCGAAGTTTGAAATGTGCCAGGACCGCTGGCTCTGAGCCCGAGGGGCCTGTCTTCAGTGTTGGAGGCCTTCGCCTCAGCTCCCCCCGCACCCCGTCCAGCCTGGCCTCTCATGGTCTGAGGCCACACTAGGGCTGGAGGAGGGGCAGGCCGCGCCGAAGGCCTTCCTTCAGGAACTGCATGTAGGTGGCCGTGGACGGGTCTTCAAAGGTGGACGAGAAGCTGAAGACGTTGTTCTCAATATCCTCAGGCTTCATGGAGGTGATGTCCAAGAAGTAGTTGGCATTGATGTGGTGGACCTGGGAGAGGGTCTGGGTGAGGAGAGCGAGGGGGCCCCTCTTGCTCCCTGTCTGCTCCCGCTCTCTTAGGAAAAGGGGACGCTCAGGCCTTGACTGTCCTCGCTCCGAGGCAGATGGCAAACACGCAGGGCAGACGCCAACCAGAGGCTGTTCCCCTCGCCCACCTCTGCGCACACAGGGCCCTCTGCCGGCAGACCTCTCCCACACCCCACCTGCCGGGCGGGGACCTCCCGCCTCTCCGCCTTTTCCTCGCCCCCACCCCCTACGGCCCCTTTCCCCCGTTCCTGTGACCCATGAACCCCACACTCCCTTGGGCCAAAATGCCGACCCACTCTGTGTGCCCGCTTCTCCCTCTGCCTCTCACACTGGCTAGTCCGCTCCTTAAGGGCAGGTGCCCAGTACAGGAGCCAAGAAACACAAGGTCAAGCGAGCAGGAGAGCACGGTCCCCAGGCCAAGTTTTGTCTGCCGAGCTCTGTGAGGCCAGGGCCCTGCCACGGCCGGGCTCTGCTGGGCTGAGCGGTGGCCCTCTTCCAGGCAGGCCTCAGCTCTGGCTCCCCCACTGCTCCCCGGCCTGAAAGCCTGGGGAAGCTGGTCACCCTCCCACGGCCCGCAGTCCCACACTAACCATCCCTCAGGACTCAAAGGGTAAGGGGCAGGAGATTCTGAGGCTCACAGGCAGGCCTGGTTTCAAAACCAGCTGCATCTCTTAAGCGTGCAACTTTCGCCAAGTTTCTGCACCTTTTTGAGCCTTAGTGTCCATGTTTGCAAAATGGGCACTCGTGACTGTCCATCTCCCAAAGCCATTTGAGACCTTGACGAGAGTGTCGAGTGTGTGAGTGCTCGTAGGGGCCCCTGAGGAGAGGTAGGGTCTTGCAGCTTGGCTCGGCCTGGGGCCCCTTGGTCCTCTCTGCTTGTCACAAGGCCTGGCCCCTGCTTCCTCCTTCCATCCCAGAGCTGGCCACAATGGTCCAGGGTGAGCTTGCCTTCCTGTCCACTCTGCCGCCGGCCCGTGCTCACGGCTGCCCCATCCCCAAAGTGCTACTGAGGTCCTCCTTCTCACGGGAGGGTCCCAGCACCTGGTGGGGCAGGCAGGGCGGGCAGGGCAGTTCCCACTTTACAGATGGGGACAAGTGAGGCTCAGGCTGCTGGGAGACCAGCAGGAAGTGGTGGAGCCAGCCCTGAAGCCTGAGGCCATCTGTAAGTCCGTGCCCTTGCTTTCTGCTTCCTCCGCCCCGCGGCTCCTGGCCCGGGCTGGGTGCAGGTACTGGGGGCTGCCTACCACGGTGCCATTGGGCAGGCAGATCATCATCTCCACGGGGAAGCTATACTTCTCCAGGTGCAAGTCTGCGAGCTTCTTGTGGGACGGGTTCTCCTGGTTGTTCTGTGGGGACAGTTGGGCGCGCTCCTGATGCCTCAGTCTCCAGCACTCTCCCAGGGCCTCCCACGGGGCTGTTCCCGTCCGCCTGCCACTCACCTGCATGTCTTCCAACTCCCTCACCAGGGACCAAGTGCTGACGAAGCTCTCATTAAGGAGGGCGAGGATGGGCGAACTTTCCAGGACAGTCTCCCGGAGAGTCCGCCCTGAACCTGTTCAGGGAACAGCACGGCGAGAAGAGTGAGGCCCGCTCCCATGTCCTACTAGCTTTTCTCTGGGTAATAAACCTCGTGGGCTGTAGAACGGTCTGTGCACGCTGGTGAGATAACAGATTCAAAGAGCCTGCCACAGAGTAGGTGCCGAATACTGGGTAGCTGCCATTGCAGTCAATAATATACTGGCATCCTGGGCGGAGATCTGTGGTGGGGGGGTGGGGGGGTTCAGCCAGGGACTTGCAGACAGTGGCAGCTTCTTAAATCCACTTAAACTCTGTGGACCAGGACCTTTGCACGGATTGTTCTACCTAAAACACTTTTTCCTCCTGTCACTTGATAAATTCCTACTCATCCTTCAGGTCTCAGCTTAAAACCACGATCTCTAAGAAGCCTTCCCTGAGCCCCCCGTCACACTCTGGATCTTCCCCTGGGTGATGCTCCCCACCCCACGCTTGAACTTATTCACTCCACGTCTGCCTTCTGCACACACCGTGCTCCCCAAGGACAGGGACCACTTCTGACTTCCTTATTAGAAGACTCTCAGCACCAGGCCGACGCCTTGGCGCAGGAGGTGCCCAAGAGGTTTGTCGATTGACTGAATGAGGGCAGGGGCACCGTTTTACTCATCTTTGGGCCCATTGTCGGACATCCAGAATCTTTGTGTCTAGTAGGCCTTGGGTGAATCTTCTGAATAAGTGAATGCCTGGCCAGCCTCTGGCACTATTTTTCTCTCTCGCTTGTGTGCAACACTTCACAGAGCCCAGGCACTTTTACATCCATCTTCACAACTCTGGGAGTGAGTATGTTACCCCTCCTTCACTGTTGAGAAAGCTAAGGCTTAAGGAGGGGAGTCTCAGACCATAACGTGAACCTGATGGTGAAGAAGGTCAAATAAGGCCTCTCCAACGGCTCTTCCTTTGCCAGCAGGGCGGCCTCCTGCCAGAGCCCCAAGGCCCTAGGGCCTCAATAAAGTTTCCCTTTCATTGGAAAAAAAAAAAAAAAAAAGGAGGGGAAGTCATTTGGCCAAGGTCTCCATGCTGAAAATGACCAAGCTGGGCCCCTTTTACTGCGAACAGCAGCTTCTTCTGAGCTCGGCACACAACCCCTTCTCCCAAGCCCTTCTCCCACGCCCCTGCCCTGTGTAGTCCCCAAGTCCCTTCCCCGCTATGTTCCAACAGGACAGTCCTGCTGGTCTCAGAGCCACCTGTACCCCATGAGGTATGATATCTCCCCCAGAATGGCAGGGTCTCCCTCACCTCAGCAGGACTGGTCATCCAGGGCCCCCCACAGCAGAATTGAGTGCACCAGCTTGTTCTTGGCCTTGGCTTGGTCGAAGGCCTCGGTGAATGGCAGATAGGCGACCTGGGGCCAAGTGGAGACAGAGAGAAGCTACAGTGTGAGGCTAGGGTCCTGTTCAGGAGCTCTGTGTAGTGTGTGTGTGTGCGTGTATTTGTAGTGTGAGTGTGTGTGTGAGAAAGGGTATTGTTGAGCCACGGGAATGGCTCCTCCAAGTTCTGAATGGCCAAAGAGAGGAAAGAGAAGCCCCTGGCCAGGCCCTGCAGGGAGGTGGCCTCAGCAGCAGGCCCTGTACCCAGCCTGGAGACTAGCACCCACCTGCTGCTCCCCCAGCCCTGGCCGCATAGAGCCCGCCCCTCGCCCTCACGCCTGCCCAGCCCCACCTTCTTGAAGGGGTACATGGCCACTTCTAGGCGCCGGGCAGCCTCCTCCCAGCTCAGCTCCTGCTGCCACTTGATCTCCTCAAAGACAAACTGGAGGGGCTCCCCTGAGGGTGGGCGGCTGTCGATCATGTTGCCATCCTCATCCAGGATCACAGAAGGCACCGATGGGCCCACGGCCTCCAGTTCCATCTGGCCCAGAGGTCAGTGGGGGTTGACATCAGTGAGGGTGTCTCAGAGATGGGCAAGAATCCTTAAGAGACCCTCAAAGATATCCCACTCATTGCAAAGGTGGAGAAACTGAGGCTCTGGGAAGGGCAGGGCCTGGTCAAGGCCACAGTGAGTCTGGGACAGAGCCAGTGTCCATCAGGGGCTCCTTCTACTATGTGAAGCCACCTGGGGGCCGAAGACAGCTGGTGGGTTTTCTGTGCAGGGTCTGGTGGTTTCCCAGAATCCCGCTTCGGGGACAGTTGGCCTCGGCCTGCCAGGGGCTCTGTCCTTCACCCTGGACCGCCTGAGACACCCAGCCCTGCAGCTGAATCCTGTCTCCTTACCTGGGTCTGGACCACTTGTGTGCTCACCTGGGGGATATAGCCAATGTCCACCTCCATATTGCTGTTCTCACTGGCCCCATACAGCCACTCCATGTCCACATTCAGAGACCTGGGGACAGGTGAGAGGGTGGCCAGGGCCGAATACCCCCACCACCAAGGCGCATTAACCGTATGTCAGACTTTGAAGTATACAACTCTCCCTGTGTTACAGATGAGGACACTGAGGCCTGGCAAGGTGAACCCAAGTGGTCTCGGGGCCACTGGGGTTTTGACAGCCGAGGCTGGGCCCTTTTCTGTCCCTGGGCTGCCTCTGCCTAAGGCACTGCAACCACACAACACTCCACTGGCCCTGCCCCTTATAGTTCACAAAGGGCTTTCACATCTCCAGGTCATGTCTCCAGTGCTGCTCAAGACTCTGAGGTAGAAAGATCATCAGTGCCTCCCCTAGGACACAGAGAGGGGCAGGGGCGAAAACCTGGCACCGGCCTCCCTGAGCTGGCCTCCCCTGCGTGCCCTCTCCCACAGGAAGTCTGGCCCCACCACGAGCCATTTGCACATCTGCCACACGAGGGCAGCCCAGCACCGACAACTACCAACCTTGGGCCGGGGGAGCTGGCCGGAGGAGGTGGGCAGCCAGCCCTGTGGCCAGCTCCTGAGACACAGGCTCAGGAGATCCTGGGGCTGGTCGTTTGTCCCTGCCCTGTTTCATCCAATCCGGGACCCCCACCTCCAACTCTGGGGGGCCGGGAGGGGGGTGGGGAGGTAGGTGTGCCCTGGGCTGAGCCTCTACAGCTGAGGAGAAGGAGACAAAACCACTCTGGCTCCTGGGGACAACTTTCTGTTTTCAGGCTATCCCAACTATCACTCTTGCCCTGGAGCTATCCCTTCATTTAGCAGATGAGGAAACTGAGACCCAGAGAGGGTCGGGGCCTTGCCCACAGCCATGCAACCCACTGGTGCCACGGTGGAGACTTACTATGGGCCTCCCAGCCAAGGTCTTGTCCCTGTCCTGGGTCACTCAGACCTACTAAGCAGCCTCTTGCTGTCAGGGAGGAATCTGGAAAGACTTGAAGCCAGGCCCTCTGGGTCCCATGCTCTTGACAAGAGGCTGATCCTGAGCAGGTTGGGCACACAGGAAAGCTGGCATGGAATTCTCCCAGAAGCCCCCTGCCCTCTACCCCCCAGGGCCTGAGGTAGCAAGTACAGGTGGTGGAGGGTCTGCCCCCGGGCCTTTACACATGCTGCTCCCTCTGCCTGGCTAAACCCTCCTAACCCCCCAGGTCTCTGCTTAGATGTCTCTTCCCCTGGGAAGGCTTCCTGGATCCTGACCAGGCAGATCCCTGCCCACCTGCCAGCCCTCCCCTAGGGGGACATGAGCAAGCTGTGGTTACAGGTCTGTTGGAGGTCTGTGAGCAGTATGAGGGCACTGGGCTCCAACTTTGGGGAGGGTCTGTTGGCTGCTGCCCTGGGTCCCAGGCACAGAGTTGGCAGTCCGGGCCAACTGGGCCATGGTTGCCAGGTGATGGAATGACCCACCTCAGCTCACCTCAAGTTGCCTCCTCCTGGGTCAGCTCCAGGCCTCCCCCAAGAGAAGTGGCTCTGGGGAGTGAAGGAGGGGCAGCGACTGAGGGGGCCTCGGGGCCCCTGCACCTGAGCTCCTGGAGCTGGGCGGCGGGGAGCGGGGCAAACTGTGGTGGGGTGCAGGGCTGGCCTGGGGCCCAGGCTCCCACCTGTGGTTGGGCACGAAGAGCCGGAAGTCTCGGACATGGGTGGCATCTTTGGAGAGGATGATGTGGCCAGTGAACTGGCCCGGCGAGAACCAGAAAGGGAAGTCAGGTGGCTCGCTGAGCTGGAACTCGGCATGGATCCTGGGGGGAGAGGAGCCTGGCTGGGACCAGCCCCCTGCTGAGCTGCAGCCCTCCCCCCCCACCCCCACTGCCACCACACTGTGGCTCTTTTGCCAAAGCTGGGGAACCCTTGGCCAGATTCTTGTGTGGAGAACAGGGCTGGGGAGGGTTAAGCCCCGAGGCCCTAGAAGCACTGCCCGCCCTCAGGGCCCGGTTCACACTCGGCCTTCACTGTAGGCCACGTGTGACCAACTGTCCTCTGAGCCCTCACAGCTTCTGCAGGGGTGTGACCCGGTGTCACAGCTCTTCGACACTCCCCTCTGGGCGGGCGACAATCACAGCCACCGGCCTCATGCTACACAAGCACCACGCTTTCCCCTTGTTCCTAGGAGGAAGTCACCACCACCCCCAGCCGCAGATGAAGAAACCGAGGCCCAGAGAGCCAACACCGCTCGCCCAAGACCAGAGGGTGGTACGCGGTGGCACTGGAGGCCACCAGGCAGGCCCTGCCCTCGCGGCGCTGTGCCCTTCCGTGCTTCCCCCGGGTCCCCAGCCGGGCAGAGAGACCAGGAGGGGTCTCTGAGGACTACACACCGGAACATGACGGTGTAGTAGAAGTCGCTGATGGCGGTCAGGCAGGCGACAGCCCCCTGAGGGGCAAAGCGGGTTTTCACGAAGGGCCGAGGGTGGAACATGCTCAGGAGCCGGTGGATGATGACCTGAGGGGAGGGCAGTGGAGACCCGTGCCGGCTTGTTGGGTCCTGATCCCCTAGGTGAGTTTCCGCTCTGGACCTGCAGGCCTGGGCCTGGGGTGGGGGTGAGGAAGGGGAGGCAGGAGAGAAGGCGGGGTGGTCCTGGCACTGGGGGTCCAGGTGCGGAGCAGGTGGAGAGCAGGTGCAGAGGGGGCCGTGGCTGGGCTGGGGCTGGGTGGAGGGCCCCAGGGTCACTACAGGCAACCCTCACCTCTTTGCCCTTGGGCGGTGGTGGGTAGAAGCGGTTGTTGGATAAGTAGCCGGTGAAGACGCTCAGCTCACTGGGGATGATCCACCACGGCTCCCCCAGCTCCACTTGGCCCCGAGGAGGAAGGAAAGGCCGGAAGTGTCGGGCAGCAAACACCGCGCTCGGCAAGGCCGCAGTCGTCCAGTTGCGGAGGCCGGACAGGGCCAGGCGGGAGACCTGGGGCAAGGAAAGCAGAAGCCCTGGGGCACTGAGAACCACGATGTGGAGGTCCCCATTCCATGAGTGGCTGGAGGTCTCCCTGGAGCCGAGGCTCACCTCACCCCACCATCCTCCACCAGCCCCCAGCCCAGGAAGCGGCACCCCCACGGCCTGCTCAGGCCAAGCCCAGGCCCCAGGCAAGCAGGGCCACCCGGGGCTAGTACAGGG